CTCCTTCCCTTCCCCTCTGAATATAAATAAATAAAATCTTTTTTTAAAGGAGCCAACTCAAGTTATGTTAACTGCAAACCCTACAAATCCCAGATTTCTCCTTTAGAGTGAATTGTTGTTTATTAGATGCCATTCTTAGCACCATGAGAATGAATGCATGAAAGAAGTGCTAAAGAGATGTTTTCCTCTCTGATTCACTTTCTTAGGCACTGTGTACCTGGATGTGGTTGGAGGTAAGGGGGTGGGAATCATACAAAGCCTAGCAGAGCAGCACCTAGGGAAAATTTGGTCTAGAATGAGCCCTGACTTTTGTTTACTTTTGTCAGGAACCCAGGGAGGGGGAAGAGTAGAGAAGAAACCTGCTTTTAAAAGTCCAGGGACTGTCAGGTGTAAAATTTAGGAACTGTTATTAAATACCCTTTTACTAAAACTTTTGCCTTGTGGCACCAGCTAGCTTGCCCAAATCTTTCTCTTTCACTAATTTTGGAACTTGATATATGCAAATGTTGCCGAGTAATAATTATAGGGATTAGGATCTTCTTGATGTTAAATTGAGAGCTTATTTTTGGTTTGCATGCATAGGGGAAATACAGTCTCTCATTTACCTTGCATGAATTGGGAAATAGCCCTCTTTTATTAATAAACTCCCAAGGATGAAAACAATTTTAGGAACAAACACACTTTGACTAGCTCTGTGGATTTAGTTTTATCACAGTTTGTCCCTTTCCTGAAAAGTATTAAAGTGAATATTTGGAAGATGGAAATTTCACTAAGATTATTTTAGTCCAGAAACATTTTTTAAATTTCCAATAGAATTGCTTTACTGCATAAAGTTACTAAAATTATTTTTAAACTTAAGCTGCTAAAGCGATTCACTTCTGAGAAGCTTTTCTTGCCTCTTCTACTCTCCCCACCCCCATCTAAGTTAGAAGTATGTTTTCCCTGGTATTCTTCTTCTGTAGTAACTTCCAAATATTTTTACTTGGTTTACATTAAAAATTTTACCAACAACAGTGGATAATATACCCTATGCTAAAAACAGTCAGAAAAATATACAGTGTTATTATATAACCTGATTACACACAATTTTTGACGCCTTTGAAAATAATTGGAACTGGTCAATAAGAGGATGAAAGGAAATTAGTGAGAACTACTTAAGCTAAAGTATGAGAAGACATGTTGGCTCAAAAACCTATTGCAAGAAAAAGGCTACCTCCTGTACAATTTTTTGACCTTTCAATTCTCTTTTTGAGTATATATATAGTGCTATAGACATAATTGACTCCTGCTGTGGTAGCCAGCCTTGAGATGAACCCAAAAGTTCTGCATCTTCCAGTATTTATTCCTTTCTTTAGTCCCCTCCCTTAGTGAATCAGGGCCAGCCCTGTGTGACCAATTAGAATCCAGTGGAAATGATGTTGTGTGACTTCTGAGACTACATCATAAGAAGCCCTACAGCTTCTTTCTTGGCCTCTTGGAACACTCACTTTTGAAGCCCTTAGCACAGTACTGAAGTCCTACTACCCTAAGACCACCTTTATGGAGAGATTACATGGAGAGGTCCTGAGATTTTATATAGAATCATTTCTGGCCAATTCCCCAAATATTTGAGTCATCCCAGCTGAGGCTCTGGATACAGCATGGAACAGAGTTGTCCCCACTGAGCCCTGCCAAAATTGCAGATTCATGAGCAAAGTAAAGAATCATCATTTTAAACAATTAAGTTTCTTTTTTTATTGTTGTTCAATTAGTTGTCCCAATATTTCCCCCCTGTTGTTCTCCCCTACCCCACCCACACTCCCTCCCTCAGTCAATTCCCATCCTGTTGTCCACTACCACCAGTCCTTTATACACGTTCCTTGATTTGACCATTCCTCTTCTCTCCCCTGTTATCTCTGCCCCCTCCCCTCTGGTCATTGTCTGTTTGTTCCTTACAGACCATTAAGTTTCAAGTGGTTCATTATGCAGCAATACATAATGCAAATGCTCCTCCCCTCTCTTTTTCTTCACTTGTAAAGTGTTTCCTTAGGTGAGTGCAAGTGAGCAAGTATGTGTCAGGTCAACTCAAGAATAGGGATTGTTTCCCATCTGTTGTTGCTGAGCAATTGACTTATTCGTGCTGTGGAGACATACCTCTTCAGCACTTCCTTATAAGAGGTGACTTTGTCAGTTTTGCGGTCAAGAGACAAAAGGGGACCCAATCCATCTCCAGGGTTTTTGGCCAGATGCACACCCACAGTGGAACTGTTCAATATACATGAATATATCTATTAAGCTGAACATAAGGGACAGCTTTATATAGAAAAGAAGTCACAAAAGTATCAGAAGCAAGGGGGGTATAGGTAGAAGGAGCAACCAATATCTGTCTGGACTCTGCAGAGTTAGAGCTGCCAACACATTCCCTTTTCAGGACCTTCTGTCAAACTGTGTTTGTAATATGGAACTCATCCCTGCAGCTAAAGGGGTGTACAATTGACTGATGGGTGGCCATTCTATTATTGATTAACCAGGAATTTATCTGGTTGCCTCCCTTGAAAATATGAACTAGTAAAGAAAGAGATTGTAGCATGCACCTGGACAAAAAGACCATAAGGAATCAAGGTAGCATGACTATTAGCCATGTATATGCCAATGAGTAAATAAAGAGAGCTAGTTGGCAGGGAAAAAAGTGCTAGTGAGAATCCATTAGGGAGAAGGCAAGAGAAAGGAAAGAAAGAGAAAGAAAGAAGAGAGAGAGAGGAAGGAAGGAAGGAAGGGAGGGAGGGAGGGAGGGAGGGAGGGAGGGAATAACAAGCATGAGAGCTCTAGCACTAGCTCTGTTCATTGGCTTTCTACTTCCCAGTTTTTAATAATTAATTTAACTTAATTTTTCTTTGTTTTATTTTTGGTCAGGCAGGGGTGGTAGTGGGATGGCATTTAACAGAAAGGGGACTTTATATTCACTTTCGTTTAAGGGTCCCTGAAGAGATCACTGTTAGAACCTCTCTGTCCTCCACTGTACTATGTATTGGTCACAATTTTAATATTCTATGCATATAAAATAGTATCTAAGGATATTAACCAAAACATCCTCACATAGACCTTTCATCTCACTTGGAAGGAGAAAAAGTACGCACCAGGTAAAGACCCTACTACTAAGAACTGCAACTTAGATTTGCAGTAATTTCTAATACTTAAGCACGTGCACTTTTCTTCCTGATTGTGCAAAGAAGGACAGGAAGTGAAATAGGGAACATTCTTAATGCTCAAGTTAAGTCAGAGGCCCATTTAAGATATACACTAGATGTGAATAAGTGTGGGAGAGTAAAATGATCATCAAATTGGAACCTGAACTGATTTGCATTTGATATCTGACTAAGATGTCAAAATACTGTGCTCAAAGAGTTAAACAAACAACTCATCTTTTCTATTACATAAGCAATACATGTGTATTGTAGTAAATTTGGCTCAACTATACCTAATGTCAATAGTTAGTGTATATATTTTTATGTTCATACTACCCGGGGCAATCTATAGATTCAACATAAACCCTGTCAAAATACCAATGACATATTTCACAGATATAGAACAAGTATTTCAAAAATTTATATGAAACCATAAATGACCCCAAATAGCCTCAGCAATTTTGAGAAAGAAGAACAAAGTAGGAGGGATCACAATACCTCATATGAAACTACATTACAAGTCCACTGTAATCAAAACAGCCTGGTACTGGCATAAGAACAGACACAGACCAATGGAGCAAAATAAAGAGCCCAGGAAAAAACCCACTCAATACAGTCAGTTAATATTTGACAAAGGGGGCAGGAGCACAAAATGGAGTAAAAGTAGCCTCTTCAACAAATGGCGTTGGAAGATCTGGACAAGTACATGCAAAAAAAAAAAAAGAAAAGAAAAGAAAAAAGAAACTCGACCACCAACTTACACCATCCACAAAAATAAACTCAAGATGGATAAAAGACTTAAATATAAGTCATGACACCATAAAAGTCCTAGAGGAAAATACAGGCAGGAAAATTTCAGCTAACCCATGCAGGAATATTTTCACCAATACATCCCATAAGGCAAGGGATATACAAGAAAAAATAAACAAATGGGACTACATCAAACTAAAATGCTTCTTCACAGCTAAAGAAAGCATCAACAAAATGGAAAGGGAACCAACCATAGGCGAAAATGTATTTGCCAATGATACTTCAGACAAGGGTTTGATCTCCAAAATATGTGAAGAACTCACATGACTCCACACCAGGAAGACAAACAATCCAATTTAAAAATGGGCAAAGGATGTGAACAGACATTTCTTCGAGGACATACAAAGAGCCCAGAGGCAAATGAAAGGATACTCAGCATCACTAGTAATCAGAGAGATGTGAATTAAAACCATAATGAGATACCACTTTACACTAGTCAGAATGGCCATGATAAACAAATCAACAAACAAGTGCTAGAGAGGTTCTGGGAGGAAAGGGACACTAGTACACTGCTGATAAGAATGCAGACTAGTGCAGCCACCGTGGAAAAGAGTATGGAATTTCCTCAAAAAAATAAACATTGAACTACCTTTTGATTCCACTGCTAGGATTATACCCTAAGAATCCTTAAACAGCAGTTCAAAAGAACTTATGCGCCCCAATGTTCATAGTAGCATTACATTTGGAATCCCTCCCTTACCTCCAACTTAGAAACTGAGAACCAAGGGCAAAAAAATTGTGTGACAAATCCAAAACTCCTAGCAGCTAAAGAGCCCCACTGAGTCCTAGGAGCCCTGGGCAGAATTGGGGGCAGAGCGGCAGTGCCAGCGCCAGAGCGGGCTGGGCCCCGCCCGCCCCTGGGGGCTGGCGCAGGAGTCCAGCGTTGCCTAGCTCTGTGCTTGGATCAACGTCTTGTGATAGGCCGCAAAGGGCTGCTCCTGCGGCTTTGATTGGCTCACCGGGCTCAGAGCGGACGTAGCTAGTGGCGGGTCGTCTGGGCGACTGAGAGGAAAAAAAAAAAAAAAAAGGGAAGGGGGTTTTAGGCCTCGCGGGCAGGCCGGGGCTGCGGGCTGCTTGGCGGTTGCGTGGGGCGGTGTCCGGAGAGCTGCGGAGCTCGGTCACTAGGGGTTCACGCCACACTCCGAGAGGTTCCTGAGCGAGGCGTCTGGCAAAGAGATAGGGCCGGGAGACCCACGGGCCGGGACCATGGGTTGCTGCTTCTCCAAGAGGCGGAATTCTGAGAAAGAGTCGCAGCCCGAAGGCGAGGAGGAGCGACCGAAGCAGTACAGTTGGGACCAGCGCGAGAAGGTAACCAGAGTCATGTAGCCAATAGTCTCAGCCCCCCCAAGTCTCTCTACGAGTGGGTCACTTGTGGCCCAAGAGGGATGAGGGGACAAACCCAACAGCTGCCCCTCCTGTTCGCCCTTCCTCTCCTGCTGTAGCAGACTCTCTCCCCCCTTTTTTCTCTCTCTCTCTTGCTCTCTCCCTCCCCTCCCTCCCGGTCTCTCCTTCCCCTTCTCCCTCTTTCCTTCTTTCTCCGTCTCCCTCTGTCCCTCCCCCCGCTCCCGCCTGTATTTGAAGTTGGAGTGGATGACTTTTCGGGGAGCCAGGAAATAAAGCGCTAAAGAGGGTGCTAAAGGGGACTGTGAAGCGCTGGAAGGGCCCTTACACATTGTCCGGTTAGATGCCCAAGTTAAATCCCTAGTGGCTTTCCCTCCACTCCACACTCACTTTCAGTCCTAGGATAGACTTGAGAGAAGGAAGGAGATCCGGCAATGCCCCGAATCTCAAATCTGCTCATTTCTCCAGCAACACCGAGCTGAGTTTTGTCCAGTCCTCCAGTTATACACGGGACTGATTCTTATCTCTTTCACGCTTGTGTTCTTTGGGGGGCTGTTTTCTCTTTTGTCTGCTCGAGCCAGTAAATCGCTTTGGTACCTAATGGTATATATACTCCACTGCTGAATTTTCTCACAGAAGTGGACTGTTCAACCTACAGCTTTGCTTTCCCCCTCGCCCAAAGAAATAATGAAAATCGAATTCGTTTCGGAATGTGTATTAAGACTGTATGGTGAAAATAACCAGCATATACCAGCCAGTATTTACTACAGCTTTAAATGAACGAAAACGCTTTATTTTTTTTTTACTTTTATATATAGCCAGAAACGAGAGCTTTGAAAATGTCCATTACTCTTGCACAAAACACAGTCATAAATTTCATAATGCTTCCTCTTTCTACATAGTTCTCCGTTTGTATTTAGTAAAACACTTTGATAGATTTATCAATTTTTTCCCTCCAAACAAAAAGTTTTAAAATAGGAGTTATTAAGTTAACTCCTTGGTTAATGTAATATATCTTTATCCATGAATGCTTTATAGTACATTTCTTGTTAATGTTTTTATTTCATAGACCCGACTGTGTGATTTTCAATCCCCAGAAGAATTATTCATATGAACGCAGTCCTCCAATATTGAGATTTAAGAAAGTGAATGCTTTTTGCAGATTTCTCAGTCCTATCTTTCCGCATGTTTCTCAGATCATTCCCTACTTGTAGCGGTGTTTTATAATATAGGAATGGAAAGTACTATGCTTTCTGTCATACAAGATTATACCTCTGGTCTAAAATTATTTGGTGGGCCCTTTTTTAAAATATTCATTTAGCCTTAGTATTTTTAACAGTGCTGTTTAAGCTTCAACTGTATGCCATAGAGAAGGTTATGTATTTATTTTTATTGTAGTTTTTATCTTGAAATCATAGGCCAAAACTAAAGTGCTTTTGTTTTTTGTTTAGAGTAATCTTGGTTGCCCTCAGTCATTACTTCATGATAAATGTTTTACAATTAACTTTCATTAGCATGATGTTTGGGTTAGTTGGAATTTCACATATTAATCTTGCTCCTTTTAGATAAATGGGTATGTTCTGTGATTTTTCTTTCATTTGCTCTTTGGCTAAGTAAGTAAACTCACTGAAAAATAGAAGAGTGGACACCAACATCTAAGCTTTTCCCCTCAAATGAGCATACAGTAAACCTTCAATTTTAGACATTATTTTGAATTTACAGGAAACATTCTTTGGGACCAGTACTAGCTACCTTAGTTGTAGAGACGTATAAGAGATGTTACCGGATATGTAAAATAAGCTTAAGGTTAGGGATATGTGTATAATAAAAGTTAAAATCTTGATAAACTCAACTAATTAGAACTTTCGTAAATGAGCATTACATTCTGAAAACAGCGCTTTTGGACGGTTAGAGAAAGAGAATTACCACCTTACATTTCAAGATAATGGAGACACCACATTTCTCATCATTGCCTTTTCTTTTTGGAATTTTTTTCTTTTGGAATTATTAGGAATTCACTCTAGGGTGTCTCATTTATGATAGCCTGCTAAATTTTATGTAATTTAAAGATTTCTAGTTTCTTTCTTCATGAGGCTGATTTGAGCTAGTGTACAATTGTTCTGTATTAGTTTAATGATGCCTTTTAAGGTTAACATGGTCTTCCTTGCTCTCAGATTTTAATTGTACCTTAAAAGCAACAGAATGCAAATACAGCCCACAGAACATAAATATGTTGCATGTATATTAGCAGAGTAGTTTGTATTAAAAGGCGTCTATAATGTAATTGTGGAGTATAGTATGTACCATTTTAAAGTTGTATCAGACTGTTACTATTCAGCTTTTAAGACTTTAGGTGTAAAAACAAAATGTGTTGTCTGAAATTTCCTCATAACTTGAAAAAATCATGTTTAAATTTTTCCTTAGGTTGTGTAATCAGAGCATCTTTTTTCAGAGGCACCCTCTGGGTTTTGGGTTTTGAGTTTTGAGTTGTGTAATTGGGTCAGTCTTAGGGGACCAGAGCTAGGAGAAATTATCTCAATCAGAAAGAATATTTGGAGACTAAATATTGTCATGGCAACTGGTACTGTAATCCAAAGTGTAAGAAGTTCATTTTTCATTGCTGCTGACTTTGAAAAAGAAAAAAAAAACTTACTGTACAATTATTACATTGACATGATGAAAAATATTTTTGGATTGTAAGATCTGTAAGTCATTCGGAAAGAAACACTTTTATCCTTGTTATCTGCATCTTGCCTCCCATAGCAAGGCAAATTATTCAATATGTGTATGTACTCAAATACCAAGGAAAAGTCAGAATGATAAGAATTTTCCCTGCCCTTGAAGAGTTGACTAGCTTTTCTGAGTTGAAATATTTAAGTACAAACAGAGGGAAGGTGAGTGGAGAGGTATAGAAAAGTCGTTTTCCTTTTCCAGTTAGTCATACCAGTGTATCTCCTAGATGGCATAAGTATGAAAATTGTGATTTTTAGTATAGACAGCACATCTTGTATTCATTAAATTGGTCTCATAATCAGTAGGAAAAACACTAACAAAAGCCTTACCAGAGAATCAAATGACTGCATTTTATTCAGTGTCTGCTGTGGAACTTTGGATAAAGTGGCCAATTTGTGCATTTCAGGTTCCTCAGCTATAACATGGGACTGTGCTAAAGATTTCTCTACTATTTAATAACCTAAAGGCCTGTCCTGAGGAAGAGGGATTAGATAGTAATGGTCACCTCTGAGGATAGAACATGAACCAGAGTTTGGGAAGGACAGAATTGGTCCTAACATAAGGCAGATCATAATTCCCAGAGTTGTTCATCAGTGGAAGTATGGCCTTGTGAGGAAATGATCTCCATGTTAGTGGAAACATTCAGATTAGATGTGTCTGTGTTAATTAGGAGGCCTTTAAGTAGATAAGGTATTCTGGTTATTCATTGCTGCATACCAAACCACCTCAGAACTTGATGGCTTGGAATAATGGCAAGTACTTATTTTTTCATAGCTCTGCAATTTGTGAAGGGCTTTGCAGGGTTGGCTCTCTGCTCTATGTGGCATTAGCTGGGATAGCTTGACTAGGGGCTGGAGGATCTGCTTACAATATGGCTTAGTCACAAAGTTGGCAGGCAAGTTGATGCTGGCTTTCTTCTGGGATCCCAGCCTGGGCTGAAGACCAGAGGCCTTTTCAGGTACCCCAGGCTTCCACATAACATGATGGTTGGGTTTCAAGGCTGTGTCCCAAGAGAAGCTAGTAGAAGCTGCATGGCTTTGTCTAATTAGTCTCTTCAGTGACGTAGCATTACTTCAGACATTTTGTTGGTAGAGGCAGTCACAAATGTCCACCCATGTCCAAGGGTAGGGGACCTCTTGATGGGAGGAATGTCAAAGAATTTGTCAACATATTTTAAATCTTTTGTGTAAAATTGTTTTTAAAGGAAATAAATATTTTTTGTTTATTCATTTAAAAATCACTTTATTGCTCTGTGTGTGGGTATGTGTGTAATTCATATGCCATACAGTTCACTCATTAAAGTGTACAATTCAATAGTTTTAATAAGTTCACAGGGTTATGTTAGCATCACTATGATCTCATTTTAGGACATTTTTATTCCCCACAAAAGAACCTTATACAAACATCCCCATTCTTCAGCCCCTGGAAACCACCCTTTTACTTTCTATCTCTCTCCGTTTTACTGCTCAGTAGTATTCCATTGTATGGATGGTACCACATTTGTTTATCCATTCACCAGTTGAAAGACATTTGGGTTGTTTGCAGTTTTGGTAGTTATAAGTAAAGCTATCATAAACCTTTGCATACAGGTTTTTGAGTAAACCTGTTTTCACTTTACTTGGGTGAATACCTAGAAGTGGGATTACCCAGTCATATGGAACTTGCATATTAAACTTTTATGAGAAACCACCAAACTATTTTCCAAAGTGGCTGTGTCATTTTGCGTTCCCACCAGCAATGTATGGGGGTCCCAGTTGCTCTTCATCCTCATCAGCACTCGGTATGATCAGTTTTTTTAAAAAAAAACCTTTTTGCCATTCTAATAGGAATGTAATGATTATTTCATTGTGGTTTCAATTTGCATTTCCTAATGACTAGTGATTTTGAGAATTTTTTCTATGTACTTACTTGCCATCTGTATATTTCCTTTGGTGAAGTCTTTTTTTTTTTGGTGAAGTCTTTATTAAAATCTTTAACTATTTTTACTGGGTTATTTGTTTTCTTATTTAATTTTGAGAGTTCTTTATATCATAGATAAAAGTCCCTTGTCATATGTTTTCCAAAATTCTTTTTTCCCAGTTAATAACTTGTGTCTAAAAACTATCTTTTGAAGAAGATAAATTTTCAATTTTCATGAAAGTCCAATTTTCAATTTTTTACTTTTTGGATTGTGGTTTTGGTTTCACATCTGGGAAATCTTTGCCTAATGTTACAAATTTTTTTTCTCCTGTTCT